ATTTTTTAAAAGATATTTCTTTAAAAAAAAAAGACGTATTATTTTGTACTTGATCAAAAATATCATTTTTAGAATCTTTTTCAAACTGTAGTGCTTTTTTTTTTTTTTTACTATACTGAAGACTAGCAAATGTTTTTACTATTGTATTTCAGTAGAAGTCAAACTGGTATTAATTTTTATGTGGGAATTAGGATTATTCTGAAATATTTTCTTACGTTTGTTGTTTTTTAAATATCACAATGAAAGGCTGATTTAATTGGTGATTCAAGTGCCCCACATATTTGAGATGGGTATACACAACAATTTTAAAAAAGATATATGGAGTAATACAATATGTTACATGTCACTATTTCACAGAATGAGAGACTATCACATTTACATAGGGATAGAAGAAATAAAAATAGACAAGGTGGGGCATAGAATATTAAATTTAATTAATGGACATTATCAAGAAAGAATTTTGTAGGATACGTAAAATTGTAAGTGCCTCAAATTCATGCAAAGGTCTGTGAAATCTTGATTTATATTTAAACTTCCTTTGAAAGGTGGTCAAAGATCCTGCCCCCATGTTGACACAAGATGGCCACCACAAGATGGCCAGCAGGGGAGGGCAGTTGGGAGGCACCAGGCCTGCAAGGGAGGGCAGTTGAGAGGGACCAGGTCTACAAGGGAGGGCAGTTGGAGGCAATTAACCCTGCAGGGGAGGGCAGTTAGGGGGTGACCAGGCCGGCAGAGGAGGGAAATTGGGGGCAAACAGGCTGGCAGGGGAGCAGTTAGACATCAATCAGGCTATCATGGGAGTAGTTAGGGGGTGATCAGGCTGGCAGGCAGAAGCAGTTAGGGGCAATCAGGAAGGCAGGCAGGTAAGCAGTTGGGAGCCAGCAGTCCTGGATTGTGAGAGGGATGTCTGACTGTAGTTTAACATTCCTCGAGGTATCCAAGATTGGAGAGAGTACAGGCTGGGCTGAGGAACAACCCCTTATCCTGTGCACAAATTTCGTGCACCGGGCCTCTAGATCTATATATACTCTTACATAATAAAGGTTTACATACCTTAAAGTTTTTCTCATCTCATTCTTGGGAATAAGATTTTATTATTAGATATTCAGCCATGAACAGGAATAATAATAAGGTGAAGTGAGTCTTCATCTTTTCTATTTCACGACCAGCTCATTTTTTTCACTTTCCTCTTTAAGGGAGACGTCTGCCATCACATTTGGTGTTTTGCACACCTGTTTCTGCCACAGGATATTGCTCTTTGCAACTTTTTTTTAGCTTATGAACTGCTTTACTTGTTCCATAATTTCCATGGGTCGCCACTCGTTATTGGAGAAGACTCTAAAGTAGGGGTGTCGAACTCAATCAGAGAAGGGGCCAAAATCTAAAATCCAGCCTAAATCGCGGGCCGAATGGTTTACTGAACAGTCATAAACTGTCATTGTGATGGAAACGCAGTGGAGTGCAGTGATGACAGCGCTGTGCGGGCCACATTGCAAGGCCTGGCGGGACGGATTTGGCCCGCGGGCCTTGTGTTTGACACATGTGCTCTAAAGCTTTAGTAATAATGCTTTTGAGGACATAGCTATGATTCCCCTGTCTGCTTCAAAAGAAATCAGCTCCGTTTAAAAGCACATGCATGTGTATTGTATTGTGTCTTTATTAATCTTGTTTGCCTCACAGATTAAGCATAATCAATTTCAGAGGTGAGCTGCGGAATCCATGACACATAGGTTTCTAAACCGTCACCTCTATGGCTGAAAACCTTCCCAATATTGGGGTATAATGCATGCGAATCAATTAAGCAGAAATTGGAACAATTATTAAAGGACAGAAATGAAGAGAAATGAGGTCATGACACCACAGGCAAAACTGATTGCTGGACACAAAACCATCATACTGCAGCTTAACATCTAGCTCAGAGACATTATGAGAAATTCCTTACCAAGAAGCAACAAAAGAAAAAAAATTGGGGGGAATATTTTAACTGGAATTTTACGCATTTCATTTTTATTCTGAACATTTTTTGAGTGTTTTAAAAATAGATAAATTGATGTCTGGGCTAGAAATGATAGTAAAATGCTATCAACAGTTTTTCTGCTTATGAGTGGAACTTCAAAACTCAGCTATTACTAAACTGAAAATTAAAAGAAAAATGGCATAATGACTGCTCCTTGAAATAAACCATCACACTTATGAAAAATTTTTAATGAACAATACTATTACCATGTGGCTAGTTATTCATTTTATCCACAACTAATAAACTAAGAATCACTTACAGAGAAAACAGAACATATGTGTATGTACATAATGCTACTGCGCACATTTTTTCAGATAAAAGAGAGAAAATGCAGACATTCCCTCATAGCTGTTATGTCTCGAGTAACTCAAGAAAATTCTGCCAACATTTATGTAATTTTTCAAAGTGAACTCAACTTTTCGGATAAAGTAATGAACTGGAGCTAATATTCTAGAATACAAAAGGTCTTTTAATATTTTTTTTTTCAAAGACATGTATTTCTTTATACTGAGTATTGTAAGGAACTGTGTGAAGAGTACTTAACTAAAGTCACTCAAGGGCTGTGAGTTCAGAGGTACTCATGTGTGTCTTCCCAATCGGTATTATATTTTATGTGACAAAGTGTAGCTTGCCAGCAAGGTACCTGATCTTTTAGTTGTGTTAACAAGTATTCGAATTCTCAAATTCCAACTTGGTTTTCAATTAAATGGTAAGTTTAAACCAGCCTCCTGTACTCACTACTGCTATAACACAATTGCTTTCTTAGTCAGAAGCTTTCTCGGTTCTTCACCTTTATATCTATTGCCTCCTACCCACACAACATCTTTTCCACCTTCACATTCATTCATGGAATGATCCAGACATATTCTATAGCCTACACACACTTAAAAAAAACACCTGCCTACAGGTATTATTCACATATTTGTCTTTTCTGTTGCTCACACAGTCAATTCCTTTACCACTTCCTTCAACTTTCCTACCCTGTATTATTGATTTTTTATCTATTGACTTTTTCTCATTTTAACATTGCTTTTCAATATTTATACTATGTCTCCTTTGTCCTTTTAGCAACTTGCTTTCATTTCTCTGGGGTTTTCTTTTTATTCCCTCTTCTTTATCAATGTACCATACTATTATTTGTTTAAATGTTATCTATCATGAACCTTGCCTTCAATAAATAGCTACCAGGTAGTTATTCTGTGCTAGGATACCAGATACTGGCAACAAGAAAATGAATATTCTCCACTCTTTTCCATATGTGTCCTCAAGAACCTCACAGTATCATGAGAAAAATAGAAGAAGAAAAAATTGCTATGGGTGCCAGTGTGCTAGTTCTGGCAAGATGGGCGACATTAAATTCCACTCTCTCTGCTACAAACAAGAACTGCTGGATAAATGATAACATTTAAAAATTTCTAGGCTCCCAAGAAAGAAAAACACATTCCAAAATGTCAAAACATAAGAGGGAATTAAAAACTAGGGAAGTACATGAGTTGGTAAAAAAAAAAAAAAAAAAAAAAAAAAAAAAAGTTATGAATGAGAATTACGTATCCAGTATCCAGGAGCTTGGATTTTAATGGCACGTGAGGCAGAAGACAGGGGCCTGTAAGACTGAGAATCGGAATTGTGATCCTATGCATAAAGCCAGGTTGTAATTTCAATGAGTTTCAGAGAGTGATATTGATGAAGAGATAGTCAAATAGATCAATCCAGCAAAATAGCGGCCAGAGGTACAGACCCAAATATAGACAGGGAATTCATAAATGACAAAGGAAGTATCAAATTCAGCAAGTAAAATAGCATACAATAAATAGTGCTAGAACAACTGACTTGAGCATATGAAGAAAATTCAATTTCTGTTTCACACTAAAACAATTCCAAACAGTTTTAGCAAGGTATACTGAAAATAAACTGTACATATAGGATGGGGCAAAAGTGGCATACAGTTGTGGAGCACACAAAACAGCTTATTCTTGTATTACTACTATTAATTATTGTGTTATTTTCTATATAATTATAAACCTATTTTTGTCCCATATAGTATTAAAATGTACAGTTTATTAAATCTACCACACTATGTATAGAAACATCATCAGAATATAAACATACTCATCAATCCCAAAGATTTGCTTGTGCCCCTTGGTAATTCCTTTTTCTATTCCAACCCTTATCTCTCAGGCAACCTCTGATGTCCTTTCTATCATTATAGATAAGTTTGCATTTTCCAAAATTTTATATAAATGAAACCACAGAATATGCAATCTTTTTCATCTGGCTTCATTTACTCAGCATAATATTTTGAGGTTCATTCAAGGTGTGGTTTATAACAATATCTCATACTACTTATTGCTAAATAGTGTTTGTTATGTGGATATAACTACAATTTGTTTGGAATGGAATGAATGGGGCATATGGTAGGTGTACATTCAACATTAAAGAAATTGTTTTTCGAAGTGCTATACCATTTCCATCTTCTTATTTCCATCCCCTTCTTATTTTACTCTGATGGAACTCTGCCACACTGAGGAAATTTTCTAAATATATTCCTCAAATTTGCTTAAACTAGCTGGGCCATGATTGAGCATCAACCTATGAACCAGGAGGTCATGATTTGATTCCCAGACCAGGCACATGCCCAGGTTGCAGGGCTGATCCCCAGTACAGGACATGCAGGAGGCATCTGATCAATGATTCTCTCATCGTTGATGTTTCTCTCTCTCTCCCTTCTCTCTTCCTCTCTGAAAACAATAAAAATATATTTTAAAAAATAAATTTGCTTAATCTACTTTCCCAAGAGGTTAGATTTTTCACTTTGGCTTGTCTTGAATACTTGTGTTAAGAATTAGAAAAAACGATTTTAAGGAAGCAGAGAAAATAGAAGAGAGAGCACATAAAAACTTGTAAAAATGTTAGGTACCGAGGTTTTTCTTATGAGAATTGCAAAAATCTCTTAGACTAAAATGCAGTTGGGAAATAAACTTACCCTGGTTTCGTGTCATTTACTACACAGTGATAGGTAAATGTTCCAAACATTTGAACTCCTAAAATTCCATAAAGAAGCAGAAAGAAAAGTAAGAAAATTGAAACACTCCATATTTGTTCTCCCGATCGCCTGGGGAAAAAATACATAAAATAGGTAAAACTTACTTTTAAAAAGTTATATACTTCCTCCCCTTAATGTATATGAAAGTAGTGCTTACTTTAAAATATTTGTAATCCTGGTCCTTGGTAGTTCAAATCGGAAATAAATTCGGAATGCTCGGATCATAATTAGTGGCCTTGGAATCCGCAACATGCCCCAAGGTGACATCTGATCAACTATATCAGCAATTTCAAACACCTGTAAATTTAAAGGTGGATAAACAAGTTTAGACTTTCTCTTAGCATGGTTTGTAATGGTGGTATAGACAGACAGCATCAGGAAGTAAACTTTGCCCTACATTTTTCCCCCTACTGAAATCAATTTTCTTTTGAGTACCTCTAGAAGCTACTGCTCTCTTAGGAGAAACAAATCATAAGCTAATGAAAGTGCCATTAATCTTTTTCATTTTCTTAACCTTGTATAATTCATCAAGGCACAGGTTTTATTATAAAAACAAGTGCCAACTTAGAATATAGAAAAAGTGTGCTAAGTCTTCCTAACTAAGCATGTTGTTAGGTGAAACTTTTTGAATGTTTATAAAATGAAGTTAATGGAGATAAGATTAAAAGTATTATTAGAAAATGTAGAAAAATGTACCATTTACTAAGAGGTGAAGTAATAATTGGAAAATGTTTGTCAATCATACAATAGTTATTATGTGGAAAAGAACATATTACTATGCAGGATAAATTAGGCTGTTAGAGAGGTGAGCTTTGTAAAAACAAAACAGCGTATCAATAAGCACTAGAACAAATTTGCAGAATGAACTGTGAATTTATTTTATTCTGAATGTTTTCATGAAGATTATAGTTACTTTAGTTAAATGCAAAATTAAGATTGATTGAATGCATGGGAATGAGTTCTACTATTTTCCAACAAAATTCCTTCTTTAGAACTTTTAAATATATGTACCCCATTTCTTTTTATTCAACAAGTACTGAAATCTTATCCCATGTTTTTTCCTTTCTTTTCATGACTATAGTTGTATACTGTTCAATAAAAAGCAATTTCTTATAGTATTGATTTTCATTTCTTATTGAGAATTAATTCACAAATGTGATTGACAATGATTAAAATGTTAGACATTTTACTTATAAACATTTAAAATAACAATGTTGCCGAAACCGATTTGGCTCAGTGGTAGAGTGTCGGTCTGCGGACTGAAAGGTCCAGGGTTCGATCCGGTCAAGGGCATGTACCTTGGTTGCGGGCACATCCCCGGTAGGGGGTGTGCAAGAGGCAGCTGGTTGATGTTTCTCTCTCATCGATGTTTCTAGCTCTCTATCTCTCTCCCTTCTTCTCTGTAAAAATAAAATAAAATAAATAAATAAAATAAATAAATAAAATAACAATGTTGTAGAAAACTATACAGTGGCATTGGATATATATGCTCTTATATATCTAGTTAGATTTTCAATGAAAATTTTGGAAACTACTTCCTTGTAATTTAAAAGTTTTTAATTACCTGCAACACCAGTGAAACCCAAAGGCAAAAGACCATAAATCCATCAAAAACACACCAGCGATCTTTCAAGTAGGAAGTATCCCCCTAAAAATAAATTTCACAGGATTTATCAGGCAAAAGGAATAATTTCAAAACATATCTGTGGAGGAAATAGTCAAGTGTTAATTCAGTAAAAGCTATCCACAATTTTTATATTATAATTAAGGAGATTTTCAAAAAGAATACCTTCAGCACTTTAAATGACATGTATGAGAATAATAATTTAATTTATAAAACACAAGTAACTGCAGAAATTTGTATAAAAAATTTAAATGTATGCAAAGGGAAAACATCACAACTTTTTCTCTTAGCCACACAAATTCTATCATTTAAGGAACCAAAGGCCATTCTATTCAATAGGCAGCTTGGTCCTAAACTGTCTACTTAAAGAGCACACAGTGGTCAGTGTAAAGGCCTTTAAACCTGGGGACCAACCACCATCTGTAGAATATTAACCAGAATTTCACCTCAAGCTAAACTGAGAGTGAAGAAGAAAAAATTTGTCTTCATTTTCAAAGAAAACATATAATGACTTTAATTGGGATTATACATGTTAAAGAATGATACACAAGACATGCTACTTTCATTTTTGAATAGTGAATCTACTCTGACATTAGGATTCTTATCCTATATAATAAAGAGGTAATATGCAAATTGACCATCACTTCAACACACAAGATGGCTGCTCCCATGTGGACACAAGATGGCCACCACAGATGGCCAGAACGGGAGGGCAGTTGTGGGCAATCAGACCAGCAGGGGAGGGCAGTTGGAAGAGATCAGTTCATCAGGGGAGGGCAGTTAGGGGTGATCAGATTGTTGGGGGAGGGGCAGGTTTTCAGGGGAGGGCAGTTGGGAGAGACCAGGCCAGCAGGAGAGGGCAGTTAGGGGCAAACAGGCTGGCAGGGTAGCAATTAGGCATTGATCACACTGGCAAGGGAGTGGTTAGGGGGTGATCAGGCTGGCAGGCAGAAGCGGTTAAGGGCAATCAGGCAGGCAGGCAGGTGGTTGGTTGGGAGCTGGCAGTCCTGGATTATGAGAGGGATGTTCTAGGTTTTAGAGGGTGCAGGTTGGGCTGAGGGACACACACACACACACACACACACACACACACACACATACACACACACACACCCCGTGTGTGAATTTCATGCACTGGGCTTCTAGTTATTTATAAAATTTAAATTTTAGAAAAATTTTTCTTTGGAATAATAAAGCAAAAAACCCCATGAAGATAAAATTGAAAGCATTAAATAGAAAGGACTTCGTTTTCTTAGGAACACCACACTGTTATTCCTTCTGCAGAATCCGTGAAACTCTATTCTGAATTTCATCATATCTGTTTATTACTGCCATGATTGCATCCACATAGAAAATAAAAACAGGGACATAATCCCAAGATTTAAAATAAAATGGTAAGATATATTTCAGGATATTTAGAAAAATAATTTTCAGAACCTTCTACCCTTCGTAACAAATCAGTTATCAATGTTTCACCAAAGAGTTTCCAGAAATATTTCATGCTATTTGCAAAACTAATAGTATGATAAACCACAAATGTAGTGGACACTGGTTAAACTCCTATTTTACAGGAGAGGATGCATAATGACTTTACTCAAGACGCTGTATGGTCACATACACACACACAAACATACACACAAATTTTGTGTAGAAAAAGTAATGCACACAACTCGCTAATATATAGGCAAGTAACTTATAATAAAGCTAAAAATATGGTTGAAGAGATTTTAGACAGCATGGTGGGGATCCTGAGGAAAACAAAGCATGCAAGCACATTCTAATTTAAAATGACCTCAGGATATGAAAACTGGCTTAGAGAACCAAGATGGCAGCAGAGGCAAACACCTGTACTCGCTGCCTCCCACAACCACATCAAAATTACAAGTGAAATATATAACAACCATCATCCAGAACTGCTGGAAAGCTGGCTGAATGGAAGTCTTACCACAGAGAAGTAAAGAAGAAAGCACACCGAGACTGGTAGGTATGGGGACGAGAAGCGGGCTGATTTGGCACCCATGTATGCTGTTTTTGTTTTTGTTTTCAGGAGGGAAATTGCCTCTGCAGAGGCTGCCCAGAGGAGAAAGGGGTCCCAGTCCTACATCAGACGCCCAGTGCCACACCAGATGCCCAGATCAGGGTCCCAGAGCTGGGAAAAGAAGTCCCTATAGGCAGTAAGAACTATGGGCTGTAAAAAACCACGGGGCTCAGTGACACAGAGGCTGCTGGAGACCCAGCTGCTCCTCATAAAAGGCCCACACCACAAACTGAATTTACAAACTCCTATCTCTTCTAAGCTCCAGTGCTGGCAAGGCCTGGGTGACCCAGACCATACTAGGAGAAATTAGACTGTCTGGCATCAGGGCAGGAACTCAGAGTGGCTTTCTTCCAGATAGAGGTGCTCTCAGCAGTCATTGTTCTTGTTAGGGGACCTCATTGCAGGGTTGACTGGCAGCCATTTCTGTTTGCTCAGTCCTGGAGATTCTGAGTCCCAAACCCATCCCAATTTATAACCCCACCCAAGCTGAGTGCAACTGCTTTTGCATATGAATGGCCTATCCTTTCTTAGGCTAAAACATGTCAAACAAGTTGCAGCTGGGTCAGGGAGCCCCAAACTTATCAATAAAAGTCTCAAGACACACGCCAGCACCAGCCTTACTTGCTTCACAGCTGAGCCTCCTCTGGGCATTTCCCTATACAAAGAGGAAGAATCTGCAGATCTCTCTGAAACTCCTACTGGGTGGCCCCAGGCAGTGGCTGACTTTACACCTCCCTGGAGACCCACACCAAGACACATCATAATTAAAATACCAAGGACAAAAGACAAAGAGAGAATCTTAAAAGCATCAAGAGAAAAGCAATTAGTTACCTACAATGGAGTGACTATATGATTGTCAGCTGATTTCTCAACAAATATGATGCAGGCCAGTAGGGATTGGCAAGAAGTATTCAAAGTAATGAATAGCAAGAACCTACAACCAGATTACTCCACCCAGCAAAACTATAATTTAGACTTAAAGGTCAGATAAAGAACTTCACAGACAAGCAAAAACTAAAGGAGTACATCACCACCAAACCAGTATTATATGAAGTGTTAAAGGGCATTATTCTTTAAGAAGAGGAAGAAGAAGAAAAATATAAAAATAAAAAATATGAACAACAAAGTGGCAACAAATACATATCTAGTAACAATTGAATCTAAAAATCAAATAAATAAAAAATCTGAACAGAATAAACTGGTGAATGGAATAGAATCAGGGGCATGGAAATGGAACAGACTGAGTATTATCAGAGGCAAGAGGGAGGGGTAAGAGATTAGACAAAGATCTTATATGCATGTATGCAGTACCTATGGATGCAGACAATAAGGTAATGAGAGCCTGGGATGGGGTGGGAACTGGGTGGAGGGGAGCTATTGGGGGTGGAAGGAAAAAGAGGGACATCTATAAAAATCTCAACAATAAAGATTAAAAAAACCACACACAAGAAAACTGGCTTAGCAAAACTTTTGCTATATAACATAGAAAACTATTTTTGAATTAGGAAGTAATTTTAGTTGATTTGTTTAGAGTGTTTTCTGATTTAGACTTTCCAGATATTCGTAGTGGCATTTACCTGTAGTCAACAAGACCACCACATTAGGTAAAGTAGAACTGGCTTCTTATTTTTTATTTATTTTTTATTTTTAACTATATTTTATTGATTTCTTACATAGAGGAAGGGAGAGAGATAGTTAGAAACATCGATGAGAAACATCAATCAGCTGCCTCCTGCACGCCCTTACTGGGGATGTGCCCGCAACCAAGGTACGTGCCTTTGACTGGAATTGAAAATGGGACCTTTCAGTCTTGATGTTCTATTTACTGAGGCAAACCGGGTTTTGTTGGCTTCTTATTTTTTATAAGAATATGTAAAATATGTGAAATAATCCGCTGGGCATACATTTTCCATATTATCTTGGGGTTCATGTTCCTAAGAGTCATTCAATATTTATAAAAAACTTTAGTAAGCAGTGTTAGAGTCCTGGAATACAAAGATCAATAACACTCAGATTTCCCCCATCTTTTCTTTTTTCTTTTCTTTTTTAAAAGCTTTTGCCCTCAGTGTTCATTATTTGTCTTCCTAAAAAGTCTCCCAAGTCTGCACCAATGTTTTCCTCTAGGCTCTTATCTGACCACAGCCTACTATGATAAATGTTTTAATTTGCACATCATGAAACAACTGGCAACTCAGTTCATGTATATAAATAATGTAATTATTGTGTAATTTACAGAACAGTCCTTTGAAATGCCCATTTGATGACTTAATGTACCTTTTAATCATTTTAACTTATCATATATAATTATGAAGTTTAGGTTCCCTACCTAAATCTTCTCTACACATTTATTTTTGTGTTGCATTTTTTTTTTTTTTTACAAAGTCTATCCTCCATGGTAAATGTTTCAGTCTGTCCTGAAAATTAGTAGCACCTTGAGACTTCAGACAATTTCAGAAGCTATTCCCAGCACCTGGCACAGCATGTGACATTCGACATATGCTAAATGAATTATTAGGTAAGCACATGAACCATGTGTTAAAGAAGTTCTGAAGCTTACAATGCATGCAGTAAAAAGTCAATTCATGTGCTTCATCCATCCATTAATTGAAACTCCTGGCAGATAGAGAAAGATGTTCGTATTTCCTTTTAAGGTAGTCTTTTTCCTATATGATCATGAAAGAGCAAAGAATTATGAGATAATTTTTGGATATTTTTTGGGTTATAGTGTAAATAAGCAGAGAGTGCATGCCATGCAAATAGGAATTAGTTCATGTTTAAAGATTTTGTGCATTATATGGTAATTGTAAATGTGACTGATTTCAAACTGAGATTGTATTAAACATTAAACATAATCACTAAGGCTCCATAAGTCTAAAATATCTTTTTCATAAATAGCATATGGACTTTGAAAGCCGGTACTATGAAATATAAGCTCATATTACATTTTGTGTCTGACATACTCATCAAATTTACTCTTGTTTCAATT